TAATTCAAAAAAATAATAAATCATTACATAGCAAGACCTCCAAATACGTTTTTTAGGTCTTTAAAATCGCGCGATTTCGCGGATAAACCTTACTTTATCAAAATGACAAAAACCAATATTTAGCACGAAAATCCAGGTATAATTTTTAGTATGAATGATTCAATACATTATAATAATTCAAAAAAATAATAAATCATTACATAGCAAGACCTCCAAATATGTTTTTTAGGTCTTTAAAATCGCGTGATTTCGCGGATAAACCTTACTTTATCAAAATGACAAAAACCAATATTTAGAACGAAAATCCAGGTATAATTTCTAGTATGAATGATTCAATACATTATTATAATTTAAAAAAATAATAAATCATTACATAGCAAGACCTCCAAATATGTTTTTTAGGTCTTTAAAATTGCGTGATTTCGCGGATAAACCTTACTTTATCAAAATGACAAAAACCAATATTTAGAACGGAAATCCAGGTATAATTTCTAGTATGAATGATTCAATACATTATTATAATTTAAAAAAATAATAAATCATTACATAGCAAGACCTCCAAATATGTTTTTTAGGTCTTTAAAATAAAAGCGAATTACGGATCGATATTGTTCTTTTTCCATTTTATCAATTATCCACCCTCGTACTACACACAAATTCACAAAAGCATTTTCAATGTGGCTTTCTTGGAATTACTTAAACCTTATTACCTATATTAATAGTAGTAATCTTCAAGCATTTAAATCAAATTAAGGAATTATGGCAGTTTATTCTCTTAAATTGGGTTTTAAGTTTGTTTTGGACAAACTAAATAATCTAGGCGACATTCCGCCCATACCATAGCTAAAAATTATATTTAAAATATTTGCTCCTTTTATTATTTTTTATTTGATCACAACTAATGTAATGTATAAAATTGTATTTGGAATTTATTCGCATATCCGCGCATTTTTAAAAACCTAAAAAATGTATTTAGAGGTCTTGCTATGTAATGATTTATTATTTTTTTGAATTATACTAATGTATTGAATCATTCATACTAAAAATTATACCTGGATTTTCGTGCTAAATATTGGTTTTTGTCATTTTGATAAAGTAATTTTTATCCGCGGAATCGCGCCATTTTAAACACCTAAAAAACATATTTGGAGGTCTTGCTATGTAATGATTTATTATTTTTTTGAATTATAATAATGTATTGAATCATTCATACTAAAAAGTATACCTGGATTTTCGTGCTAAATATTGGTTTTTGTCATTTTGATAAAGTACCTAAGGTTATTTCGCGGAACCGCTCTTTTCAAAAGACCTAAAAAACGTATTTACAGGTCTTGCTATGTAACGATTTATTATTTTTTTGAAATATACTAATGTAAGGAGTCATTCATATGAATTTTCGTGCTAAATATTGGTTTTTGTCATTTTGATAAAGTAAGGTTTATCCGCGAAATCGCGCCTTTTTAAAGACCTAAAAAACATATTTGGAGGTCTTGCTATCTAATGATTTATTGTGTTTTTGAATTATACTAATCTATTGAATCATTCGTATTAAAAATTATATCTAGAATTTCGTGCTAAATATTGGTTTTTGATATTTTGGTAGAATGTTTTTCCGCGAAACCACGCATTTTTAAAGATCTAAAAAATGTATTTAGAGGTCTTGCTATTTAATGATTTTTTATTTATTTTATAGCTAGCGGTGTACTAAATTATTGGTATGAAAATTGTATTTGTAATCTCGTGCTAAATGTGTTTTTTTGGACTCTCAATTCTTATAGTCGTTTGACGACAAAACACCTGACTTTAAAATGACCAAAAAAATATATTTTACTTAAATGATTGTTCGGCCATAATTTTTTGTTTATTCAATTAACAAAAACTTAATGAATATTTGGTATAAAAATTATATTTATAATCGCATTGTAAATGTGTTTGTTTCTTCCCCGTCTTTGTGTAAGATTATCTTATTTTAATTAATAATTCAAATTGAATTAATCCATTTTTTTCAATAAATACACTAATATTTACTTATTTATTTCTAAACTTTCATGATACTAAAGTCCACCTAAACCAAATATTTTGCCCAATAGCAACATCAAAACATTTGGGGACCGCCGCGCGTTTTGTCTGCTAGTTTGTTATTGCAGATTAAAAAAATTCGCCATACATTACCGTCTCGATGATGGTGGGTGAGGTTTTCCGGGTTTTCCTCACTTGTAAGTCAAATGGCACCATCAATCATCTTTAAGTCGTCCCGGAGCGCCACGGCAAATAATAATAATAGCCGTCCCTTCCCCTACACAAGTCGTTCAGTCGACTTCAGGGGTTGAAATTCACTCGTAAGGGGATGAATTAGGGAGAGTATTATTATTGTCTGCTAGCTTCAGCCTCATTTATCAGATCTCGTTGTACCGTTACGGGGCTTTTAGTATTTTTTGATGGACTTGACAATGCTGTAGAAGATTTCTCCTGAAATCCTGGATGAGTTGGCTACGTTGCGGGTACCTGCCGTGAGGTGTTAACAGCTGATTGAATTTGATCTGATTTTGACCTCTTTCTTGTTTCGATTTCGAAATTTTTTGTTGTGTTCCTTTTTTTTTATAGTTGCTTTATGTTATCTTGGAGAAGGTCAATGTTTTGTTTTAACAGTGAATTATTTTCCAAAACTAAATTATGTTTTTGTTCTTTTTCATTTTATATTTTTTTTAAAAGTTCAATTTCCTTTTCTAAAATTTTAGTACTATTTACCTGTATTGCTTTTTCATCAGCCTTTTCTGCTGGATTTTTTAGTTTGGAATTAACTTCTTGAAAACATAGTTCACAAAACCACTTAAAATTGATATTATCAGTTTTGGTTTTCGCTACCTGCTCTTTTACTTTCACACACATTTGATGGTATAACTTTGCGCAATAATCGCATTGTATGTTTTTGGCATTGACTATAAAATTGTCGGAGCACACTACACACAGTTGTGCACTCGGCGCCATCTTTATTATCTTAGGCTAATAATTTATTTTCCTGTTTATTTGTTAATTACTGCTAGGTGGACAAAAAAATAATGCCTGGACAAAGAAAAAATGGGTGAACAAGCAATTTCAGGGCAACAACTCTTTATTTTTGTTGATATTTTTTTTTATTTATTTATTTATACAAGTTCATACAAGTTTATTAATAATGTAATTTCTGGAATATAAAACAGCAAGCTCTTAAGTGAGTGAACACTTGTATTGCGCTGGTTAATATATGTTTAATAATTTCATTTTAATATAAAATAATTGTAGTAATATTGTGTACATCTTAGAATAAAATAATGATGTGATTACAGATATGTTTATACCTACCCTACTCTAGTATTTTTATAAACTCATAATAATGTAAAAAAATAAATGTTTCACTTAGTTTAGAAAAAGTTTTTATGTTTGTAACATTCCTTATACTATGTGGTAAAAGGTTATATGTTTTTGGCAATGTATATACCAAGAATCTATGACAAACATTTCTATTAAATTTAGGAAAATATAGTAGCTTTAGGCTGAAGGACCTCGGTCAATGGCCTTTTGTAACTTTTAAGTTTCAATAAAGCACTTTTTTTATTATTATTATTATTATTATAGTAGCTTATTGGAAATACTTCGCGTACTATACACAGAAGTTACATAAATTTGTTTAGACTTGTTAAAAGCATATATACAAAGGCTGTAAAAGTAAAGCGATCTAATATTACAAATATCTTCTGTATACAGCAAGTTAGTTTTGTCACCTGCTTTGTAAATAGGTGTAACAAGAGAGGATTTAAATTGCGATGGTACAATACTTTTTTCAAAAATTAAATTTATTATATGTTTTAGTGGTTGTAAAATAAACAGGTGCGTTTTTTTTATTATATCAGATGTTATCCCATCACTGCCAGGTGCACTATTATTTTTTAAAATTGAGATGTAATGAATTAATTAATTCAATATCTGATACAGGAGTAAGAAATAATGAATTCACATTTCTAGTTACATTTTCAGTGAAAGTATTTGGGGCTTTAATATCTTTAAGCATATTTAGACCTATATTAATGAAATATTCCTTACAATGGTTTGGCATTTTTTTATTGTCAGTAAAAAGAACTCCTTCATTATTAACAATTTGATAGCTAATTACTACTTCTACTATTTAACAAACAAAAATAAGGTCTGCAAGGAGTGGACAGATAATTTTCATATGTAATTTGATTAAAATACCTATTTGAATTGCTTGTAGGGATGCTTACATTACGGATACTAATCTGAAAAATATTTTGGTAAATACCATATTCAACACATTAATATTTTCACCTAATGTTAGACTCTACATAAGAACATAGCAATTGCTGATGAGGACAATGCTCCATTATTTTAATTTCCCTTTCAGGGGGTAGACAAACAAAACTAAAGGTTTTAAGGGTGGGCAAATGAAAAATTGATAGTACAAAATGTCCAGGAAATTGATTCTGTTCTTTTACCTTCCATACCTATCGTTTGTTATATTGTGTATGCAGAGGAGTATGCATTGTATTTTAAAATTATTTTGTTAATGGGTGTACTTAGGATAGTTGAAAGATATTAAAAAAATACTTGAAAATGTAATATATTAATTGGATGTTTTCTATTTAAAAAAAGTACCAACTTATTTTTTCGAGTATTTTTTAAGGATAATTTCCTGGCCGTAGCAGAATTTTATTTATATACAACTTATTTTCTTTTTTATAAACTCTACTTTTCTGCCAAAGGAGTGCAAAAGTCAACTTTAAAGAAACACATCATGCACTATAAAGTATACCTAAGTACCTATCTAATGCCAATAATGTAATAAGCAGAATTATCATTTGATTAGATTGTAAAGACGGACCGTGGAACCCAAAAGGTCCCAACTCTAACCACTAAGCTATCCCTCCGTAATAATGTACAAATTAAATATAATATAATGCAGGAACGTAATTTTAATGAACAAATAAATAATTGTAAATATTTACCTTATTTTATTCTTAGCTCGGCTCATTTTATTCCAGTAGATAGAGCAGAATGTGATGAATGCATCAACCCATGTACCAATGCCACTATTTCGATGTATCAGGACAGTTGTTGAGGATAGGTATTTCACAATAAAACTCTTTATCCAGTCAATTCACTGTTCTAAAAGATTAAAGCAGTAAACTAATAAAATAATAACTAAAAAATAACTAAAAAACTCGACGTATTTGGATGTTTACACTTTAAAAAACACTACATACAACAAACTTTTAACGGTTTTATTTAAAGTGACATTGGTAAATGACACCACAACAAATTCAAGATTCAGGTTTGATTCAGGATTACCAACCCACAGACCATTAACCTATGTTCACAGAACACCGTAGCCGAGTTCGGATAGTCAGGGGCTGGAGCGGGACAAAAGCGGAGTTTTTTTAGGGTGCTTTTAAATGACATTTAAGCGTATTAAACTGTCACTAATCGGACTAAACCGAACGCTAAAAGGGTCGTTTGAAGTAAAAAGTGTTAAAGGAGTTAAAAGAACGTGGCAGACTGAACGCAATGCGTATAATGACTGGAGGAGACGTATGACAGTTACAGTGTCCAGGATTAGTGTTCTGTGGTCATTTCGAACTTGCTCACGGATGTGTTCGATAAATGCACGATAAATGACTCTTGTAGTTAAGAGTTTAGGACCGATTCCACCGTTGTGTTAAACGAAGTTTAAAATTACATTTTTACATTTAACAATGTCATTTTAATCTCCGTTTAACACAACGGTGGAATCGACCCTTAGGGCCCTATTCAGTAATTTATCGTTTATAGACGACATCGTTAAGCTAACGACAGTTCAACCAACGACTTTTATAACGATAATTTTTGAAACTCTATTCAATAACAAAGTCGTTACGTTGTTTCTAGTTACCAAATCTGAACGATGATTTCTAGTAAGTTGGTATTATAATTTAGTGTTTTGTGATAAAAGAACGTATGTTGATGATTATACCGGGTGTTTAAATTAAAGTTTCACAGTTAAGTATCGCCAAAAATATGCATTTTATAAAAAAAAAGTACCAGACAAAAGTTTTATAGTTTTTTAGGGGAAACATTTTGGCTAAATTAATTTTTTTATAGCTGACCATAATATGGCCATATCGAGGTGGATTTTTTTTTCAAATTGGAACCCTATTTTTTTACATAGGTATTCTTAGGGCCCTATTCAGTAATTTATCGTTTATGAACGACATCGTTAAGCTAACGACAGTTCAACCAACGACTTTTATAACGATAATTTTTGAAACTCTATTCAATAACAAAGTCGTTACGTTGTTTCTAGTTACCAAATCTGAACGATGATTTCTAGCAAGTTGGTATTATAATTTAGTGTTTTGTGATAAAAGAACGTATGTTGATGATTATACCGGGTGTTTAAATTAAAGTGTTAGTTAAATATCGCCGAAAATATGCATTTTATACAAAAAAGTATCAGACAAAAGTTTTATAGTTTTTTAGGGGAAACATTTTGGCTAAATTAATTTTTTTATAGCTGATCATAATATGGCTATATCGAGGTGAATTTTTTTTTTCAAATTGGAACCCTATTTTTTACATAGGTATTCTTAGAGTTCATAAAAAAATAAGAAACTTCTAAACGAAACATTTTTTTATTAGACTTCTACTTATTGAGTAACACTTACTTGAAAATTTTGCTGCGCGAAAAAAAAGCTAGCCATATTATGGTTAGCTATAAAAAAATGATTTTAGCCAAAATGTTTTCCCCAAAAAACTATAAAACTTTCGTTTTTTATAAAAGGCGGTATATTTAACTGTAACATTTTAATTTGAACACCCGGTATATATGACATTTTTTTGGAACATAAAATATGAATTCTACCAGTAGATATATTCATTTGTTTTTCAGAATATATTAATTATTGTTCTTAACCTACAACACGATTAGGGGGTCGATTCTCGATTCGTAGGAATTCTGTTTCTCGCGCCCATTTCTGCTGGTCGTATTGTATGTAGGGTTTATTTAAATGAGTAGGGATATATTAAAAAAAACTGAGAACTATTCCAAAAGAATACCAAAAAACAACTCGAGAACAGTACAAGTTGTATTGATTGGATTTGAAAGACAAACCAAATTTGATACTATCAATCCTTTTTCCTGATTATCTTTTCTGTTGATGTCATCGGCTTCGACAACTCAGGCCATTAGCCTCGTTTTCTGTGTAGGTTACGGAGAAGTATTATTAGGTATAATATATGGGTACTTCCATAATATAGGTTTTGCTACTGTTTCACAGTGCTACTTTAGGAACAGCACTGGCATTTTTGTGTCATCAGCAACAACTGCTATGGTTATTTTAGCCTCGTGTTCTGTGTAGGCTTTGTTACTGTTTCCCAGCGCCACTTTAGGAACAGCACTGTTAATTAGTACCCAACAGTGAATGGTCGAGTGGGGGGAACAGCACTGTTAATAAGAATCCAATAGTTAAATGGTCGAATGGGCAATCCTAACTTTGAATCAGATTTATTTTTAAAATAATTAAATAAATTTGAAAAAAATTCCTTACAAATTTTACTTGCTGCATTAGGTAGATGGCAATTTAGTTGTAAAGTTTGTAAAAAAGTGCTTTTATTATTTAGAACACATCCTGATTCACAATGAAAAATGAGAGGGAATGCAAAAATCACTATAACGACATTTCATATTATTAACGACAGCTCTGTGGCTATCGTTGATGAACGACAATTTTACAACCATATTTGTCTATTTTCAACGACAATCGTTATCTACTGAATAAGAAAAGTCGTCTGTGAACGATTATCGTCTATTAACGACGTCGTTCAGAGTTACTGAATAGGCCCCTTAGAGTTCATAAAAAAATAGGAAACTTCTAAAGGAAACATTTTTTTTATTGGATTTCTACTTATTGAGTAATACCTACTTGAAAATTTTGCTGCGCGAAAAAAAGTTGGCCATATTATGGTTTGCTATAAAAAAAACAATTTTAGCCAAAATGTTTTCCCCAAAAAACTATAAAACTTTGTTTTTTTTTTATAAAAGGCGGTATTTAACTGTAACCCTTTAATTTGAACACCCGGTATATTTGACATTTTTTTGGAACGTAAAATAAAAATTCTATCAGTGATATATTCATTTTTTTCAGAATATATTAATTATTGTTCTTAACCTACAACACGATGAGGGGGTCGATTCTCGATTCGTAGGAATTCTGTTTCTCGCGGGCCATTTTTGCTGGTCGTATTGTATGTAGGGTTTATTTAAATGAGTATGGATATATTAAAAAAAAACGAGAATTATTCCAAAAGAATACAAAAAAAAACAACTCGAGAAGAGTACAAGTTGTATTTATTGGATTTAAAAGACAAGCCAAATTTGATATCCTTTTTCCTGATTATCTTTTCTGTTTATGTCATCGGCTTCGACAACTCAGGCCATAAGCCTCGTTTCCTGTGTAGGTTACGGAGAAGTATTATTTAGGTATAATTTCCATAAAATAGGTTTTGTTACTGTTTCGTAGTGCTACTTTAGGAACATCACTGTTTTAATAAGAATCCAATAGTGATTGAATGGGCAATCCTATAACTTTGAATCAGATTTATTTTTAAAATAATTAAATAAATTAGAAAAAAATTCCTTACAAATTGTACGTATTAGGTAGATGGCAATTTAGTTGTAAAATTTGTAAAAAAGTGCTTTTATTATTTAGAACACATCCTGATTCACAATAAAAAATGAGAGGGAATGTAAAAATCTCTATAACGACACTTCATATTATTAACGACAGCTCTTTAGCTATCGTTGATGAACGACAATTTTACAACCATATTTGTTTATTTTCAACGACAATCGTTGTCTACTGAATAAGAAAAGTCGTCTGTGAACGATTATCGTCTATTAACGACGTCGTTCAGAGTTACTGAATAGGCCCCTTTGTCTTCGATATAATAATCATTGATTTATATAATTGGCTAGAGTTAAACCGTGTTAAATCTTAGGTTTTTTCTTGTTTTACAAATACAAATACAAATTTACAAATAAAACAAGAACAAGAGACATTCGTCCACACATAAACAATTTGGGATTGTATACGTTCTGTGCAGTCCTGGATTTGGCCTAGGGGCAGCAGCGTCCTAGGGGCGGCAGCGTCCTAGGGGCGGCAGATTTCAGAAAATGCTCACTCGATTTTAGAGGATAAAAGTCAAACAAGTTCACTGGTTTTCTCATGGTTTTTTATACTAATACGTAAAATCCCTATAGAAACTCATTCCTATCGAAAATTATCATTCCTAGGTACCTACTGTTATTGTATCTATTACGACGATTTCGTTCAAGAATGTGTTCATTTTCACAGTTTACATTTCTTCTAATAAAACTATGTGCAGTAAGGCCTGAATCACTTTCCACTCCGGCTACAAATTGTTCTTGGGAAAGGAGTTTTTCCTATTTAAAACGCGTGAAAAATTATTAAAGGTCTTCATTGTCTTAAGAAAAAATTAATTCTTTAGCTCTTCTCTACATAGAAGCAGAGTTAATGAACACCATAAACTATGATGATATTATAGATGATTTTGCTATTAAAAAGTCCCGTAAAAATTGTAATTCTTGTTTCTTTCTTAGGCTCTTTCTTAATGACTAATTTATTCGTTTATTTCACTTTAGTTCCTTCCTTACTACAAATGGAAAATTTTTAGAAAGGTACAAGGGGCGGTGGAAATAAAGTGGCCTACACTCATAAAAAATATTAATCCGGCACTGGTTCTGTGTGGTCTTAAAATGCTAACAATAGGTCTTTTCCTTTGCATCGAAAGTGTAGCACTGAGCTACACCACTTCTGAAAATATCGTTCCGCTTATACAAATTGTATGGATCATAGATATATAACCAAGGCAGATAGGATTATTTACAAAATTTTTGAAGAATGAACGGTGGTGTCCGCGGTAGAAACTCAATAATCGGATTGAACATTGATGCCAAGTTTACGTGCTTTTAACTATAGATATATATAACCAATACAGATTACACAATTTCTGAAGTCAACGCGGATGATCCTCGACAGAAATGCAATATTTGGATAAAATTAAAATATTGATGCCAAGTTTGCGATGTTTTTAACTGTAGTAATGTTATTGCGTTTGCTTGAATTACTGTTAGGTCTTTAAATTGTCCAAAAAAAATAATGTCTGACAACAGCGGAAGTATAGTAGACCGCAATTGTGGAGGGTCGTATATTGTTTCATTCATAAAAATTCCTTCGATACAGTACTAGTCCAGGAGCCAGTGAATTTTTTCGTACTTGTTTTCCCGGTCCGTGTATATTTAAATAATCTATTCCCGGTGAACTGTATATTTAAAATGGAACGCCAATCTATTAACAAAAGTAAGCCAGATTGAATTCGCGCATTACGTCACATCGATACAAGTGAGATTGTTTACAAAGTGCCTTTGCATGCCTATTTTGCCCATTTAATGTATTTGTTTTTAAATCATGTTAAATTACTATTTTTGAAACTCAATAAGGAGAAAATCCAATTAACTCTTCCGTTGTGTATATATATAAGATAAATTAACTGAAGTTTTATTAGTAAAGTATTAATACTAAAATTTTAATGTAATTTACAGAAAATAGCTAGGTATGTATTTGTTTTTAAATAATTTGATAATTTATGAAAAAAGGGAGTAAAAGTGGAATGACCAGTGGCCAGTAGGTCAGTCAATACAAAGTATCATATATTTCTATTATAACATAACTAAAATACCTACATCTTTAAATCATAAGGACATAAGTTAAAAACCATTTTAATATATGCATTAGAATGAAGTAATAATAACTTAAAGAGACGAGGTCTTAAAGTAATAGCTGGTACAGCATGTTTTTTAAACGTTTCCTCATTGCTGCTAGAATGAAATCACCTACTATGAAATGTGCTCTAAAAACGGCATTTATAGCAGTCAGTGTTCAGTCTTAGGATCTCTTCCTAAAGCCCTCATCCAAGCTGCATACATATTAAAAAATAATTAAAAAAAAATATATTATATACCTATATAGTTTTCGGTTCTGGGTGCCCTAAAAGAGGACACTTAGCCGACAATTTGGCTCAGATAGCTAAAACCCAAAAGTCACACCCCGTTCCACAGTTCACTGTATTTTCCTCACACCTCTAGTATAAATGATTTGACATAACGAAACTAACAATAATTATAATTAATGTAGAGTAATAAGTGATTCGTGAATTCTAAATAAAACAATTATTATATAAAAGTGTAAAAGGAAATGTAATTTATTTCCCTATTTGCTTCTGTAATATCTTCAATTATTATGTTTAATTTCTATAAATAAACCAACTGGTTAGGTGAAACATTGTGATATAAGATTTTATTTATGTCCTATGCGTACACTTTAATATACAAAACACCTGGAACATTCTTTAAATAATTGTGGTCGTAGAAATAATTGTGTACATAACTCGTTTGGAAGTGTATATTATGCACTTGCCAAATATATTATCCATACAGATTAATAAGACTATTTTTTTACTTAACTTCAGTACATTTCTTACTACTAAAACTATTTTTATCAATGGAAAAAAAGGGCCGTGTTCTCGTATGTTTTGACCCATTTTCGGCCTCAGCCCATCGGATCCCCCCTCTAAATATATATGAATTTTGCTTAGAATTGCTAATCCTACAATTCTCTATTCGTGCTTGCTGACTGGGAAAATAAATACCGAAAATCGTCACTGTCTCCTGGACTATACAATAGATGATGATGAGAACTTCACAACAAATACACTTTTATGAATGGCTAGTTGGGGATGTGGTATGGATAGAACGATATTTTCAGAAGTGACGTAGCTCAGCGCTACACTTTCGATGCAAATGCTGCGTTTGAGAATCCACATCGGATGCATTTTTTACATCTCGAGCGTTTTTTTATCCACATCGGACACATCCGTCCCATTACATTTACGTATACTGAACCACGTGATCAAAGATTTTTTACATCTCAGATGCATCCGATGTGGATTCTCAAACGCAGCATATGACCTAAGCCTTTTTCGATTTAGCTCGCGCGAGCGGTTCCGGTTGACAAATAAATGACAGCGGTCCTACAAAAATTTGACAGCGGTTGTAATTTGTGACCAAAGAGCTTGAAATATATATTTCAAGCTCTTTGTTTGTGACGTAATCTATGACGTTTCTCGAAATGTAAATAGAAAATAGTTGGTTGCACGGTTGCGAATTTGTATTGACAGCTTGTTGTTATTTTTTGTGTTAGCTATTTTAAATTAATATAACACTGTTAGAAAAACATGAAGAAGGACAAAATAAAAACAGAAAGGCACTTTTTAAAGCACAGTTAAAAATACATACTTCAGTTTTCAAAAGAAAGAAGTGTTACTTTTGTCCTCATAAACAATTACTTGTTCAACGTTTTGTAAAGGAAAGACCTTTGGAAAGCCTCCAATAATATCAGAAGCAGGAATTGTTGGTTTAGTCGTTTTAACCTGTCAGATTAAAACAAGAAAACCGACAATTCCGAAGCAGAAGCGGATGATTAAAACGCGCCTATTAAAAATATTGCGCCAAGATGTAGGCAACACGTAATAAGGGTTCAAAATGGCGGAGTCTTCTATCTCCTTTTAAAAGGCACTCAGAAAGCTGCGCAGTGCGACCATTCTCCGTATAGTAAAAGAAAATCAAAGTATGTGCCTAATGCTAATACAATATTCATAACACTTCAAAAACGCATGCGCGGTCAAAACAGTCAGAGTCGATCCACACTCCGAAGCATGGGAAGCATGACACTTTTTATCTACTGCGCATGAGCCCGACAGTTGTGGATCGTTATTTCTCAAAACCAGGAATGCGTTTAGAAACCTCGCACGGCGCGTCTCACCACATATACATTAGAATAGGGTCCAGACGCACTCCAGAAGACCTATATCAAACGGTTTTGAGATCAATTTTTGTTATTTGTCTGATGTCAGACGAATATAAAAATTTTCGATTTTAATATGGATTATTAAGGGCCAATTCCACCGTTGTGTTAAACGGAGATTAAAATGACGTTGTTAATGTAAAAATGTCAATTTAAACTTCGTTTAACACAACGGTGGAATCGGTTCTAACCGACTTCAAAAAAGGAGGAGGTTCTCAATTCGTCGTATTTTTTATGTATGTTCAGCGATAATTCTTTCACACGGTGTCCCCTTTCAATAATTCTTTTTTTTCTTCTCAGAAAGGGGAAAGGGGGTACTTCAGGGGTGGTCCCATATTAATTTGGTCAAAATCTAATAATTGGGTCCATATTAGAAGATCCTCAGAATCTTCATTTTTAATGTATGTTTAGCGGTAATTCTTTACCAACTTGTCCAATTTCTATGATTCTTTTTTTGTTAGTAAGGGGATACCTCACAGGTTCCATATAAATTTGGTAAGGACCGATTCCACCGTTGTGTTAAACGAAGTTTAAAATGATATTTTTACATTAACAATGTCATTTTAATCTCCGTTTAACACAACGGCTGGTAAAATGTACTCTAAGAGTAAAGTAAGGCCCGTATTTATAAACAGAACTTACGTGAGTCGGACTTGGGTAAGTCGTCCTTGAACTAAAATCGAAGTTCGGTTACAACGACTCTAAAGTTCTAGGTGGTTCTGGTGTTTGACTGGAATTTAGAGATGGATATTAGCAAATATGTAACTGTTATGTATATTTACGGATTTGTTACTACCCATCTCTAAATTCACACGATATAACCGAACTTCGATTTTCGTTCAAGGACCCTAAGTGATCTGTGTTGAGAGTTATCGATCGAACACAACCTAGACCTAGAGTGACAGTGACAGAGCAGGACACGATGCTGTTTTCTGTTTTGTGTTGTGTTCATTATTATTTATGATAAATTAAAATTATAAAAAAATGATATAATTGATTAAACAATCATAGACATATTAAATGTTTACGATATCAGTGATATTGTGTTCTATTCTGTGATAATATAAGAGAACTACATTATTCATTATCCTCCATGGTATGATAAACGGTAGATTGTATATTTCAATTTGGGGAATAACATACAAACTTTTTAAAATGTATTTGTGGTGTTAAAGTGAAACGCGTATTTTATAAATATATTATTGTATATTTAAAGTTTGCTGTGAAATCAATAAATATGTCTTCTTATCTTCGTGGATCAACTAATTATGTATGGTCTACAACAAGTATTTTGGGAAAGGGTGCCACAGCCACTGTACACCAAGGAGTAAACAAAGTTAATGGGGAACCTGTAGCAGTTAAAACATTCAACCATATTAGTACACTTCGTCCACAAGAAATTCAATTGAGAGAGTTTGAGGTACTACAGAAAGTAAATCATGAAAACATTGTTAAACTCCTTGCTATTGAAGAAGAGCAGGAAAACCGAGGAAAGGTTATTGTCATGGAATTGTGCACTGGAGGAAGTTTGTTTAATATATTGGATGATCCCGAAAACACATATGGATTAGAAGAGTCAGAATTCTTATTAGTACTTGAGCACTTATATAAAGGCATGAAACATTTAAGGGACAACAATCTAATTCATAGAGATTTGAAACCAGGTATAAAATATGGTAAAGTTGCAGGAAAGGTATGTACTGACGCGCATCCTGGCCGCGCATATAAAATAATTTATTTATCTATGGTTTTACGACAGTATAACTGTACAACATTATCAGATTGCTACTTTTATATTATTAATAAATAAAATCTAAGTAAAATAACAAATAAATAAATAAATATAAACAACTACGCGATAAATATAACGATGTTTACATATGCGCGGCCAGGATGCCTGTTAAGTACATACCTTTCCTACAACTTTATCTAAAATATTGTAATTAGAAATTATAAATTGAAATTTATCTTAGTACCTATAAGTACCTAATGTCAAAAATGAACGAACTTAGGTATAGTTAAGTGGTCACAAGCTTTTTTATACGATTATTATCCTTACACAGAATATGCTAGGTATTAGTAAAACATTCCATTCATGGGATTTGCTGACATCTAGTGTTTATGATCTTTTCTTCTTTCATCTATTAAATATGTAAAGAAGTTTTTCTTCTCTGTTTATTTAATTAAATCAAATATTTTTTAATTTGCTAACCATGTTTAGAGTTTTTAACTATATTTCCTTTGATTTCAATATTCTGTTCATTTATCCTAGACTTGTTAGGCACTTCTATTTCTTTTATTATAATTATTTTTTTTTTAATAAATTAAATCATTGTTTATTAAATATTTATCTGGTTTTGACTCTTCTGTCTGTAAAAATTTGAAGGTCCATTTCATTTATACCAACTTATTTGCTTCAATCTAATATTTTTTTACTAAAAAAAATAATAGTTAAAATCAAAATTACTTATTGTTTTTTTTTCAATTACCATTAGTTATAGCTAATATATTTACTAGAAGATTGTAGATAACACATTGATTTTAAAATTGACAAAATAAAATAGAACGTACCTAGGCACTTACATATTTAAAAAAAATTAAATTAGAAAAGTAGGTATATCAAAAAATATTTTTATAGGAAACATTATGAAGTTCATCCGTGATGATGGAACCACTGTATATAAATTGACAGATTTTGGAGCTGCTAGAGAACTTCAAGAAGGTCAATATTTTCAGTCATTGTATGGGACTGAAGAATATTTACATCCAGACATGTATGAGAGAGCAGTGCTTAGAAAACATCTAAACAAAACTTTTGGAGCTACTATAGATTTATGGTCAATAGGAGTAACATTATATCATGTTGCAACTGGTAATAAAATATTACTAACTCAAATTATCTTAATGCAAAGTATGAACACTCACATATGTAATTGAAAACTTATTTTCAGGTAATTTGCCATTTAGACCTTATGGTGGCAGAAGAAATAAGGAGACAATGCATCATATCACAACAAAAAAAGAAAGTGGTGTCATTTCAGGAATACAGACCAAAGAAAATGGACCAATAGAGTGGAAACATGAACTGCCTATTAACTGTCAGTTAAGCTTTGGTTTAAAAAAGATCATTACTCCTCTCTTAGCTGGCCTTCTAGAAGCTGATCATGTAAAGATTTGGTCTTTTGATAAATTTTTTAATGAAGTGGAAGTAGTATTGTCAAGAAAAATTTTCAATATATTTCATGTAAATGAAGCTCAACTGATCAAGGTTTACATTTTACCTGATGAAAGATATGAACATCTTCAAAATTATATTCACGATCAAACAAACATTAAAGAATCCAGTCAAATATTATTATATCAAAGTAATTTGCTCAAAAATCTTGTTCAAAACTATACTTTAACCACTGGTTATCCAGTTACTACTAAAGAAGACCCATTTTTCTTGTTCAATAGGGAGAATAATAATATTACCATCACACCTGATCAGGAATTACCCAAGTTTAATGAATTTTCATCTGTAATGTCTGTAGAAAATGATGCAGCTCAAGCCAAATTTGGTTGTAGTATAGGACACCAGTGTAAAAGACAAATTGAGAAATATTCTTTGTTTAGTAAGCTCATTCGTGACACTGTGGATTATTTTACTAAATACATAGTTTCTGAATTAAGACAATTACATCAAGATACTGAGCATTTGTTGGAAAAAACTACTATTCTAAAAAAAACTGCTGATATTTTACAAATGTCCCAACAAATGAGCAGTTATAAAAACAGTACTAATTACACAAAAAAGCTAGAAGAGATTAGTAAGGATTTTATAACGGTTTCTGTGACTGTAATGAATTTATATAAAACTCAGTGTACAGAAAACACTTTAAAGTTGCAGTGGGATAGTATGAGTAGAGATTTAAAATGCCCATATAAAACACTTGCACCTGCTAGAGCAAAAACACAAGTGGAACATTTAAGAGATTCTTGGCAGCATTTAGTAAGAGATAGAGCTACACGTAACTTAAGTTATAATGATGAACAGTTTCACATATTAGAGAGAATCAAAATAACTCAAACTCTTAACAGACTGAAGAATCTTTTTGAAAAGGAAGTCTTTCCTAATTATGAAGCACTCTCTGAGAATTTTGGGGATTGGTATAAAATTGCGCAAAATATTCATTTAAAATCAGAAATTTTAATTTCTGATATTACACCTTATGAGAACAAATTGCGAGATTTCGAAGAAGATCTCAACATAGAGAATGGAGATTATACAGATTATTTAAAAAACAATAACAAAAAGAATAGCTTGCCAAAAAGGGTTAGAAATAATCAAAATCAGAAAACTAGAAAGTTTTTAACAGATTATCATACTCAAAGTGATATTATTAAAGAAATGTTGAGTGAGAACACGGATTTGCTGAATAAGTTGAATGAATCGACCTTAGAATTAGGAAAAAAGTTTAATATCAATGACTATAAACAGTCTCAATAAATATTTTTAATAAAAAAAAAATTAGGTAAATTCTTCTCTACTGACCTTTCAAAAAGACTGATTACATAATTTGTTATCTACTTTCGAACTTCCAGTTGGGTAAAAATAGCTGATGAAAAATCTATGTCGGCGTGTAGGTATATCAAATTAAGAAATAATTAGCATATTGCGGTGGTCGACAGGTAATAACTCCTTTTTATATTCATATTTTTATATAATGCAGATAGTTGATGCTGTAATGCAAACGGCATAACACGATAAAGAAATAGGTTGTATTTTATGTTTTTCAAAATATATTAAAAAAAAGTAAATATAATGCAGTGTAAATATTGGTAAAAAATTAATCTAAATAAAAAATACTTCTGAAATGACTAATTAAAGAGCACCCACACTACATGAATTCAAGGTGATTTATAATGCTTTATACATAGAACATTGGTAGAACCCTGACATCAAAATATGACAATTGGTCAAATATGACCTTAAGGTAGTTCACTCACGACAGTCATACACAAAAATATCGCCTAATGGTGAATACCAAAAGTTAGAGATTCTCAATGCTAAAAAATGTTATTTTTGTATGCTTATATATACGGATACAGTTATTATTTCAAGTAAAATCCATCCAGCAACATCACAAATATACAGTGAGCACCATAAGTCTTACTCATTACTGGAGTCTTGTTAGGAAAATCGCCGAGACACGTCGATAGTTTACCCTTAATTTCATCCCTTACTGGAGGGGAGCAAATTTCATTTTTTTTTGCACGGTTGAATAGAGAATAAAACCCCCTTTCAAATGAGCTATCACTCACCACCCCATGCCATTTAAATTTTTCGAAAGGGTTGCTCCCCATTTCGGGATGTATCTTCCAGTGGAGGACTGAGTATTCCCAATGATTCATTGTTTCTGTACTCATCTTCTAGAGATGGTTTGCTGTTTCTCAATGATTTAATTACTGGAGTCTGGTTAGGAAAATCGCCGAGACACGTCGATTTTTGTTTTCTACAATGTACATTTTTGTATGAATAGTTTACCCTTAATTTCATCCCTTACTGGAGGGGAGCAAATTTCAAATTTTTTTGCACGGTTGAATAGAGAATAAAACCCCCTTTCAAATGAGCTATCACTCACCACCTCATGCCATTTAAATTTTTCGAAAGGGTTGCTCCCCATTTCGGGATGTATCTTCCAGTGGAGGACTGAGTATTCCCAATGATTCATTGTTTCTGTACTCATCTTCTAGAGATGGTTTGCTGTTTCTCAATGATTTAATTGATCGAGTATTTTTATTTACCTTTTTTCTAGAAGCGGATTTATTGTATATTCCTAATCCTTTAGTCAATATACTACTATTCTTATTTTTTCTGTTTACAATCTCATCTATCATTGTAGATGTACCTGAATCATGATCGATTGGTTTTTGTGTTTGAGGCATTGCAAAGTCATTAAATTTTATTAGTTGATTGTCATTAGATTCTGGAAAATTTATTAGTTGGTTGTCATTAGATTCCAGACAATTATTGTTATTACTAAAAAAAAGTATTATGAATAAATATTATTAGTTTAATATTGCTCATTTATAAATCCTCTGATGGATCAGCGCCGTCTTCTAATTTCTTATACTATGTATTTCTACATTACTTAATTCTACGTTACACTACTTCTACTAAGTAACAAGTTTATTCTTACATTCTAATAGATATTTACAAATATTACTGTGATTCGTGCTTCAATTTCTAACATTTATGGACCCTATCGTTGTGCTTACATTTCATAATTATTATATTGTTAAATTCTATTTTATTTACTGTGATTTCTTATTATCTACGGACTCTGGCTTCGTCTATCATTGAACCTAATATGTTTATATTATTTCCTAATTCTAAAATTACATGCTTGGCCATATTTGGCCAGAAGTCCAGAGTGCGCGCAATTTCCCTTCTTTCATTTGGAAAAGACTACATTCCATGATTCTATAGCTTTGTTCGCGGTAAGAATCCTGGACCGAATTATTACTAATAGTAACGATTTCGCAGGCGCAGTAGTTAAAAAGCTTTCGCGGAACAAAAAGAACTGAACTATTAGTTCTATCCTGCTTTTGAACCGCTTGTCTATACCTGAGACACCGAGATATAATAGGGATTGCACGCGCGGTAAAAATTCAGAATTGATAATGAGTGGGGCATGGGCTCTAAGTATGAATTAGTAATTCTGAATCAGAACGAAGCTTATGAGAGGCCGAATCGTCTACAAGGCATTCCGTGCAGTCTGGACCTCCCTTTCCAAGTCGGAAAAGATGTACACCCAGATTACCATGCCCGCTGAGCAAACAGGTGGTTTCTCACTTGAGCTCGGTGTCGCACACTTCTTCCCACTGTCGTATGTTTGGAATGATCTGGTGTAGGTGTCTGCCTTTGTCGGGGTTATTCCATTCCTCTTGCCAGGTAGTGCGTATGATGCCATTTAATTCTCTTTGGACATGAATCCAATATCTAAAGTTTCTGATGTTGATCTCGTTTCCCCATAAGAAGGCCGCCCCTGTCTTCTTAAGTTTGACTTTGGCCTGCATGTATTCTAAAACCTGGTAAAGAGGTGGTATTCTCGCTAGTATACAAAGGCTTTCGTTCAGACAACTTCTGTAGGCACCTAAGATGGTTCTTAGACATGTTGCTTGTGTAGTTCTGAATCTGCTTTTGTTTATGTGTACTTAATCTATGCCCCAAATCTCAATGCTATAGGCAAGTATGGAAATAAATTTCAGTGTCACTTGATAGTTGGCTAGGTTGGTCCAATTTCTGTAGTTATATCTTCTTAGCGATTGAAAGATGTTTCTGCTTTTGGCATTTATATATTCAATGTGCTTGAAAAAATTGAGTGTTTCGTCTATGTATACGCCCAGATATTTTATAACATTTACTCTACCGACCGAATTATTGGCCAGTCTGACCACCAGGTTTCTGTTATGGGAAATTTTGGAGAATATAATATACTTCGTCTTAGCTATAGAGATTGTTAATTTGTTTTCTTCCGCCCAAGTTTGGAGATCAATGCGAATGCATCAGTTTTCTTCTAAATATTACAGAGTGGCCCAAAAGAAAAGATGAAATAAAATTATTAAATGTACATCGATATATCTATATTTTTGAACGATATTTTGGACATATCGTTTTAATTTTGATAAATCGATGCTTTTCATATATCATGCATCCCTACTTAGACTGTAGGATGAATGGAAGAATGTATGAGCTGAATGAATGGGAAGGACTACAGCAACAACATTAAGCCATTTGAGCCTCAGTACCGACATGCAAACCCCAGAAGAGGAAAAGCAGGCTGAATCCCAAGCCTGATTGAGGGAGCCAGTGGCTGGATCCAAGTCTAATGGGGAGGATCTGCCGGAACCCCTCAGGGGGAGCAGAGGAATGCCTGAAAGGGTGAAAAAAGGTCATATTTGGACGGTCGGGAGTCTACCATTGCTCTGTGTACCATTCATTATGAATCACCCTGTATAGTCAAATTGATGAATATATATTAGTTGAAATACTAACTGCACGAAACAACACAATTTTGTAATATTTGTTAATGAATGAACAAAAAAAAAGAATTATTTTGCTATGATTTTATATATTTTGTGTATTATTTAAAAAACAAGTTGTTTGTGTTTTTTAAAATGAGGGTACTTTTACTCTGTCCATTTCATATTTTTTGACTTCCCCAAATATTTTTTTTCTGTTTGGTGTAAACTTTTTGAGTCTCACTGTATATAGATGGAATTGTAGGTGCATTTCTGACAATCCAGTGATTGTCCTTTTCATAAATATCTCTAATTTTCATTATTTGTATTTTACAAAAAATAAATATTCTGAAAATGCCTCCACAGAATCTGTAAATTTACATGATAAGGAAAATTATAGTATATTTTGTAAAAGGTATGTAAGTTAGCCTTTAAAGTTTGCTCTTTATGTTTAAGTGAAACATTGGAAGCGGCCAGTGGCGGTCATATTGCTTTGCGACCTATATACAGGGTGTCCTGAAATTATACGGTCATATTTTAACAGCATAATCTACATCCTAAAATAGGAGTAAAAGTTTATATAAACATAGGTTAAAAGTGAAGTCCTGATGACACTCTTTTGTAAATATTTTCTAAACGTTTAAAGATAACTAAGTGAAATTTGGTACAAATGCGTACCTTTTTACGCTCTATTTAATGGTCTAAACCCCAGTTTTTAATCATCTTCATAGGTGAGTAAATTAGGGGGGCTTAGGGTAAAATTGCCCTAAGTTTTTTTTGTTGATTTTTCACTATAAAATTTTGAAAACCAATGTTTTCTTTATGATAAAGCTACGTATGTTGCATCTCGCTAGGACGCACCATTTTCAAGTAAAAAGCATTTGAAAATTTCATGATAAGTTATTCGAAAGTGTAAACAATAATTAGTAGGCCTGTGAAATCAGAAATTTAATTTTTTTACTTTGGAAAACCGTTGACTAAAAAAATTTTAGAAAATATTTACAAAAATCTGGACTTCACTTGTAACACCCTGTATCTCGAAAAAGAATTTTCGGACCTATGTTTATATGAACTTTTATTCCTATTTTAGGATGTAGATTACGCTATTAAAATATGACCTTTAATTTCGGGACACCCTGTATATACATATATTGTGTGATATCTTAAATGAAGGATGATTTTTAAATTTTTTTCACTTAAAAGTTTTAAATTTTCTCGAGCAAATTATGATAGAATAATTTGTTTACATTAAAAAGACTTTTTTTTAGATGATTGATCACAAACTACTCAAGTTAATTTGGGATGTTGGGGGTTTAACATGCCAATTCCTACTTCAATTATCTTGTTGCTACATTTACCGTTATTCCGATAATAACAGTCACTTTGGTTTTCTAAATGGAACGTCCTCTATATTATTTAATTTTTGATTTTACTCTGCAATCATAGTTCAACGAAATGCCACACTTGATATTTTATGATTTT